TATTTCTTTAGTTAATTTGTGTGATTTTTCAATTTTATCATGTATAGGAGACAAGAAAGTATTGTAAGAGTAATAATGATTATTGGTATAGAAAGAAAATTAAAAGTCCATAATTCTACTATTTAAATTATTTTTTTCATTTAATTTTGTGTATTTCCTCTCTTATTTCAATTTTGTTTCAAATTAAATTATGTTGTATTATTGTTGTTGTGTATTAAGTGATGTATATAAATGAAATTAAATATAGTATGAATTATTATTTTAAAGTTACTTACCATACTAAAAAAAACAAAAATGTTTTTTGAAGGATTATTGACTAATAGAAGTTATTAAGATTAAATTATAAACTAATCCTTTTTCGTTACTTCTGTATTTAAGATACGTTATTGATTATTTATTATTGAAAATTAATTACAAGTCACTCACTTAATACTTTTATTCAAAAAAATTGAAAAAAAATATAAAATTAAATACCATTTAATTTTCAACTAAAATTGCATTTTCTTTTGTTTGTTTTACTCCAAAACATTTTTCAACAACAATATCTAATACTTGGGTTTGTTTAAAATATGGTAAATAACCAACAATACAAGTATTAGATATTTCTTCATATACATCTACTTGTTTTCCCCCAATATATACAATTGGTTCATCTCCAAAATTATCTCCAGTAATAGTAAATAATACAGGTTCATTTCCATTATACTTTGTTGGTTGTACTGAGTCAATTTTAACAACATCATCTGTTCTCATTAAGGCTTTACCAAATTCTTCACTTATTTTGACGTTAGACGTAGTAGCAAATCTAAGATCACCTAATCCTTCAATCATATTCTTTGATTCTTTTATTTCTGTATCACGAGAATTATCTGCTTTCTTCTTTTTATTTGTTTGTTTTTCTTCTTCTTTAACTCTTTCGTTTTCCTCTTCAATTTCTTTACAACGAATAACTCTACTCTTTCTAAACAAAACATTACCAGTGTTTTTATTTTCTAATGTAATTAGTGGTGAAAGTGATTTTTCTTTTGGCTGTTCTATAGTATTACATTCTTTAATTATTTTAGTATCCCCAATACATTTCTCAGTTAATTCCCCTTGACTCTCTTCAGATTTATTAGGAATTTCTTTTGGTTCTGTATCTTTTTTATCTAAATGACTAAATAATACAGTCTCTTCTTCATTATCATCTGCTGTTGTATCATTTACGTCATCAAAACTAGAGTCATCATCACTGATACTCTCGTCACATTCAACAATGTCAATTTTATGTTTACTTCCAATAGTTGAAATAATTTTAATCAATTCTTCTTCTTTTTGTGCTTCAATTTGTTGAACTTTCTTTTCTAACTCTTCTTTAGGTTGATCTGACAAAGAATTTTGTCCGAGTATTTCTTTTGGAATATCGAAGTAAATTATATCACTAGGTAATGGCACTTCCTTGTCTTTATGAAGTAAATGAATATTTAATATCATTTGGTCAGTTATTAAAGGAGGTGCTTTGAAAGTGATAGTATGCCCCTGAACAGTAAATGGTATGTTCATATTATTAATCATTACTTTAATATTTCTTATTGAACTCAGAGTAATACTCAAAGTCCCCCCTGTTAATGGTAACATAGTATTAGAAATTCCTATAACTTCTGGGTCAAAGTCTAAAGCAGCATCTATTTCTTGAAGTAAATTTTCATAGCTTTTAACTTCGTTTATAGAATTAAATACAACACCTCTTCTAAAGACATTCATAGCTCTTATAACATTAGAAGCAATTGTTGCATCTGATTTTTTTGGAGGAGTATCAAAATAATCAATCATGTTTTGTAAAGACAGTACTTTTTGTGTTTTAACTTTAACTATTTTTAATGAATCTTCACATACTTTAACATCTTTTTCTCTTGGAGAAGGACTTGAAATTAATTTCTTCATAAACAAATTTAGTATAGAGTATTCTTCCATAAAAGAAATACAAGTATTAATAATTTGACATCTTAATAAGTAAACTGAGTCTTCATTAGCTTGTTTTATATTATTACTAAATACAATATCTTCAGTGACAGCAATATAAATAAAGTCACAATATTTACACAATACAATGTCTATTATCTCTTCATTTTTCTTTTGATACTTTCTTTTTTTAACACAATCTCCACATAATATTGCTTGACAACATTCACATTTATATACAAATGTACCTAGAATATTATCTTTATTACAATTAGAACATCTTTCAGTTTTAAGTAAGTTCTTCATAGTACTACCAATACCACCCTCCCCCTTTTCTGATACTTTGTTATTTTTTTCAATCTCTTTAATCATTTCCTTCATCTTTTCTCTTCTCAATGATTCATTCGTCCTAAATTCTTTTCTTTGATGTTCAAATAATTTATTATAATTCTTCTTTGGTAAACTCAATGGTACAGGAAGACAAAAAGGATAAGCATTTCTACTCTTTTCAATATTCATTTAATAAAAGAAATAAAAAGTTCATAAAGAATTTTTTTATCTTTTTTTTCTCAATAAAAAAAATGAAAAAGACTAAAAAAAAGTAGATTAAAAATTTTTAATGATTTTGTATCTTATTCCTTTCTTTCTTCCATATTTATTTGCATATCCATGTAATGAAATAATTTTTCAAAAAACATTTACTTTTGAAGAGGTAGAGGAATGTATTAATGAAACATCTATTAATCAATTAGAAAGTGAAGGAATTATTAATGATTTAATACAAGCAGCTCATGCTTATGTCTTTACTGATATTAATAATTCCTCTATGAAAGAGCATCCAATAGATTTAATTCAACAAATTAATGAAATAAAAACAGAGAACCAAACATTATTTTCATTCTTTCAATCTATATTTCTTACGTTCCAAACAACATTTGACCCATCATTAACATTAAGAGTATCTGAATCATCATCATTTAATGATTTAATAGGAATGTATGATATTTTATTTAATTATGATATAAATGGAATTTATATTACACCAAATACTAATTGTGAATTATTTGGTATTAAACCTTCAATTACAGAAAAATCATATTTAACCTCTATTAATGATATTGATCCAATAAAATTTTTATTGTCCTTTGCTAAAAAATATGGAAGTTATATTAGTCAACATGCTCAGTTATCATGGGCTTTATCTTCAATTTCAAATATTAGATTATCAAAACTGCCTTTGTCATTTATTGATTTAAAAACACCATTAAAATTAATAACGAATAATGGAACAATATATACTCTTTATTATCAATTTGTTAAAGTAGAACCTACTTTATTAAATGAAGTATCAACAAACTCTTTTAAAGGAAATGAGTGTTATGTAATGGATGAAAGAAAAACTAATGTTTTAATACTTTCATCTTTTGAAACAAACGATGTTAATAGTCTTAATGATTGTTTAAAAAAATTTGATTCTAATTCTTATCCTATTGGTATTGTTCTTCAACAACCAAAAAGTTTTGGCAACAATGAAGTAGCATCAAGTTTACATCAATCAATAGTATTACATGATGACACTAGATTAATTGGATCATTTAAATATTTTGATTCAATGGATTTATTTTATAAAAAAGAATTTATTAATCAATTTAAAGACTTTGAATGTAAACAAATTAATATAGAAGATATTAATTCACAATTAGATTCTTTTAATAATATAACTCATCAAAGAACAGAAAGTATTCTTTATATATTTAATAGTTTAACAAAAACAATGAGTTCTTTACGTAAATCAAATGACATTGTTATATTTTCAGATGGATTATGTACTGGAGTATGTAGTCAATTTGCACTTGGACTAGTTTTAAGAGGAAGTTCAATAAGTGTTACATATGGATATGAAGGAAATGATAATAAAGTAAGAATTTCACAAGGTAGTACATTATCAATACAAGAAACAGATTCAAGAGAATTAAATAATCTAAAAAGAAATAATGTAAAATTGAATCTACCAGTATTTGAAATTTATGATTATCATTACAATTCTTCTGAAAGTTTTCCATTAGAATTTAGTACTATTATTCCTGATTTTCATTTAAACCGTGGACAATTTTCTTCTGTTAATGATATTATTACTGAAACATTAAAAATAATTGATGAATTTCAAACACAATGTAATGAATTAAATGATAGAATGAAATATGATTCAATAGAATGTAATATTTATGAATCTACTTCTCATAAATATGGAGGATTTAAATGTATTAATAATTCTTGGTCAAATAATTGTGAACCATCTTATTGTGATTATAACTATTTCCTTGATTCTATTACACTTAATTGTATTAAAAATTCATGTGTTAATATTGATGAAAATGATAAAGAAACAAATATTTCTATTTTAATTTATGTTGGAGTTTCAATTACTATTTTAATATCAATATTGATTGTATCGATATTATTAGGAATATTTATTCTTTTTATGCACAGACAAAATCAAAAGTTAAATTATAATCGTTTTTAATTCTTTTTCTTTCTTTTTTTTATTAATACAATTATTTTTTAATATCATTCTACTCTTTTATTAATTAATTTATATATAATATAGTATTCAAGAAAACTAGTAATAAATTCTCTCATCAAATTATTACTTACTCTATACAAAACTTGTTCATTGTATTGAAAAGTAATAAAATATACTATCTTAAATTGTATCTTCTTTTTTTTATTTATCAATTCCTCAATTTTGTAATTAACTCAAAACTAAAAAAATATAAACAAAAATGTCAGAAGAAGAAGGTGAATTATTTAAAGTGTTATATTCAAAGGATATTACTCAACGTATTAAAAAAAAGTTTGATGGATATGCTATTTTCAGATCTAAATATAGAAGATTTGAATTATATGAAGATGATGATGGAAAACCAGGTAAACAAATAGATTGTGAAACAATTAATGAAACTGAAGTAAAAAATGATATGATCATTAATCTTCCAACATTTATTGTTGAAGTATTTGAATCAATTAATACAACAGAACCAAATAACCAAAAAGAAGAAACAAAACCAAAAAAAATACTCAAAAGAAAAAAAACAATACCAAAACCACTACATAAAACAAATTCAATAAATACTTCAACTTCATTAATTAATTCACAACAAATAATAATTAAAAGTAAATCATTTTCATTAAAAAAGAAACGATCAGTAGAAGATATATTAAAAATATTTGAAAATAATTAAATTAGGTCTTTTATTCATTATATTAATATTTGCTTAGTCTTTTTCTTAAAACAATATTCATTAATACATTATTTGGTTGAATAATACGATCTTCATTTGAATAAGCAATTCTAACAATATTAAAATTATTAAATAATTGACTATATGAATAAGAGTAATAGTCTTGATCAAATCCTAATAAAATTTTTGGATAATAACTTGATAATACATCAGGTTCTCCATATTCATTACATAATTCATTTGATTTTTCTAAACAATCATTACTTTTATGATATGGATCTCTATAAAATGAAAGTCCATTAACTATTTTACTACTTAATTGTCTTAAACATTCATTTGGACTTAACTGTAACCATACTTTACCTCCAACACTTTGAATTTTTTTGGATATAACTTCACATTCTCCTTCATAAGTTAATAGTTGTGCTGTTTTTGTAATAATTTGATCTTCTACCATATCAAGAAATTTGGTTGAGTAAAGATCAATATGAATTTGGTTCATTGTAGTATTAAATGGTATAAAATGTTCATGTTGCTCTGCTATCTCATCTTGTAACTTCTTTAAATCACAACTTTCACTGTATAAATGAATGTTATAAAATTTAGCATTCACACTTCCTACTAATATTAAACTTACAACTATGAAAAGTATCATCTTCCACTTTCTTAGTTCATTTCTTCTTTCTACTTCTTCTTCTTTCCTTTTGTTTCTTTTCTTTTTTTTTATTAAAAAATTTTGAAATTTTAAAATGAAAACTAAAAAAATAATTCAAAAATTAAATTATTGAAAAAAAGATAAAAA